AAAATGCTTTGTCTTCTAAAGTATAAGTATGTTTATTTTACACAATTATTGTTAACCCATTTTCAAATGATTTCAAATTTCTTAAATATTAATTAAAATAAATAAAATTATATCGGCCATCGGCCACCCTGCTTTCCAAGATATCGGCATCGGCTGTCAAAAAAACCCATATCAGTCGACCACTAATTCAGAGTTCATTTAGGAGGTGAAAGATAATGCCCATTAGAGGCCTGCAGTGAGGGCTGCTAGTTTGTTTACTACATAATCCTGTAGTAAACATGTAGTATTTCACTATTAGCATGTATTGTCATTCATATTTTATTCACCAGCCCAGTGTCCTTGCATAAAGAGTCAATACTGCAGAATAAAGAGTGAAATTATTTGGACATTATTGTTGTACTGCTGCCTAGGATAGCATAGAAAGGGAAGTTACTTTCCTAAAAATGTGTAGAGTAGGATGGCTAAAATGATTTAAAGGGGTCATATGATGCTTTTTTAAAGATCATTATTTTGTGTATTTGGTGTAACAGAATATGTTGACATGCTTTAATGTTCAAAAAACACATTATTTTTCAAATACTGTACATTATTGTAGGTCCTCTATGCCCCGCCTCTCTCAAACGCTTCGTTTTCTACAAAGTCCCTCCTTCCGACAAGAGCAGTCAAATGCTTGTTGGTGTGGTCTTGGAAATATTTCTCAAATCTTTCAACAATTTAGAAAAAGTGAATCCCTAGTTTTCACTTCTTGCTTGAAGATTTTGAGTGGCTGTTCCCTGTCTGTTATAGGATGGACTGTATTGCCCCTGATATTATTTATAGGTTTACATATGAAATGTAAGAGTTAATTCTTGGCCATTTCCTGATTCTTCAATAATGTGTTCCAGTGTTTTGTCTTATTAAAGCCATAAGGGTTGTTTGTGTGAGGTTTCACAACCTCAAAGGGAACAATTTAACCAGGAACGGGGCAGGAAACTGCTGACTCAGCCGTGGCAAATTGTCTTCTCTATTCTGTTTATATGTTGATTGTTGTGTAAGGAATGCAGAAAAGAGTTCATTGTTGCTATTAAATAGACTTCATATTGAAGGCAGCATTCATATGGTATTCATGTTAATTTGCAGCAATGGGAAAGATGACTACCATCTTGATCATCTCTCATCTCCTCCTAGATGTTAGATTGTTCTTCCATTCTGTTTCCAGTCTTCTGCAAAATTGTGTAACGGCTTCTTCACTGCAGGCAGTAACTGGTCAGTTCACGAGAAAAAAGCATTTCCAATCCTAAAATGGTTTTGTTCCAGTGAACACCCAATGATCCCTTGGCCCCGATTGGATGATCTTCTGGAGAATTTGTGTTATCTGCTTGTCTGAACAAGTTCTGGTTGCTGGAAAATCGACAAAGTAGAAGGTTTTATTAGCTCTGCTGTCCTCGCATCGATAAACCCCATTAATCTGGCTTTTAGCTGCTGGCTAATGCTGCTCTTTGTCAGCAGCGCAATGCTGTGTTTATCTTAAAGTGGTCTGTCACTCCACTGATCAGCAGCTGCTAAAGAGAGTGATGAAGCAGTGCTTCAGGCCTGTCAATGACGTCACACTTCTTACCCTCACGCTCCACTTTGTCAAGCAGCAGTATGAAGATGGTCTTCCAATTCATTCTCATCACAGACTTTGGATATTTTTTTTATATATCTGTCATTTTCATCAGTCTCTTCTTAATGTCTGGTTTTTGTCGTTTATTGATGAAATTTGATATGAAATTCACCCCATCTATTTTCTAAACGCATTATAGATCATATCGTGTACAATTTTTGTTATTTTTCAATAAACCGTTACACTCAGTTGTGTGATATAATACAGAAGAAAAAGATCTGTTGCTACTTCGGTTTCATCACAACTTTTAAATTCAGTTAGTTGTAAACTATTAGTTCATGAACATTTTTCAGTTATTTCTCACCTCAGAAAATCTTGTTCATGACCTGAGAAAACCATTTATGACTATTTATAATTAATTACTAGTATCCATCTTAGTTTTAACATTAGAGTGGATGAGGCCATTTGTAATTTGAATGTGTGTGGCTTTTGGTGTCATAGGCTTCCAGTTATTTTTAGCTGTATGAAATGGCTTGTTATGCTGCTTGATACTGCAAACTGGTCTAATATTTTAATGTATTGTCATCATTATAAATGCACTTATTTGTAGCACAGGCAGTTTTCTGTCTACTGCACTGTTATTCTTCTAATAATTGTCCTATGGTGGCTAATGATGAATCACAAGTCTCACACATTCACAGAAAATGGCTTAGTTCCACATTGCAAAATAAGTTGGATAACACGAAGCAGCAGGAACATAAGGTTTTTTTTTTTAGTAAGAGAACCATTTTATACTTATACGCAGTCTGTACAACTCTTCTGCAACATTCACTATTTTTATTCACTTAAATTGCAAAGTACACAAGCATTTACAGAAAGTAATTTTGTCATGGCAAATAAGATGTACACAGTTGTTGAAATGAATACTTATTTTGCATGACATTTACTCATCTCATCCTGAGAACAGAAAATGCATTATCTATTGGCAAAGCTGACCTAATGGAAACGGTTATCTGCCAAAGCAAAGCGCAGTCTCAAAAACAAACATTATCTGATTAATCAGCCTGAGCAATATACTGTGTCAGTCTAACACTGGTGCTCTAAGTTGTAATTTTAGTGTTTTAATTCTTGGAAATGATATGAGATTGCTGCATGCATCTTTTCTTTTGCAGTGTGTTTAAGACTTATCTATCAGGTAGACTGGAGACATTGAGGGTCGTGTCCTTAAGACTCGTTAAACAGACGGGTTTTTTTTTTTTTTTTTTTTTTTAAAACCAATTGTCACACTTGATTGATTCAGATCAAACAAATTTTAATATTACACAAAGATAACCCGAGTAAATACAAAATGCAAACCAAGAAGATGAATGGGTCTCTGGACCACCCAGACCAGCCTGACATTGATGCTATAAAGATGTTTGTGGGTCAGATCCCTCGGACGTGGTCAGAGGATCAGCTGCGTGAGCTGTTTGAGCCCTATGGTGCAGTTTATGAAATCAATGTTCTTCGGGACAGGAGTCAGAACCCCCCACAGAGTAAAGGTACTTGACAGTCAGTACACTGCAGATTGAGACATGTTCTGTGTCAGTCACTCTCAAGACTTATACAGACTGTTCCAAAACCTAGTGAGCGTATAGCGCACACACATGCAGTGCTGCATAAAAACAAGTTGTCTTAGATGGCAGCCTAATTAAGTAGCCTACTTTTTCTAAGGTAAGAAGAAATACTTCTTACCTTAGAAACATGCCAGCGATTCCTTAAAATGCTACTCACTAGGATTTGGAACAGGGTTCTAGAAATTGGTCTCATTGGAAATGTTGTCATCTTGGACTTGGTTCACAGGCCATTTATTGCATTTGCAGGTTGTTGTTTTGTCACATATTACAACCGTAAATCTGCATTAGAAGCACAAAATGCCCTTCACAACATGAAGATTCTTCCAGGGGTGAGAAAAGGATCTAGTTTTTCTTTTATTATATCAGTAAGCCATTAATCCTCATGCGTGTCGTCAGATGATCTGGCCTTCTACTATTATTGCTTTTAAAAATACTTCAAATCCACACACATATTGACATGCTTTTATAAAAGCTTTTACAGTACACCCAATGGAACTGTTAAAGCTTTTTTTAAACAGCTGATTTCTTATAGTGGCTGGAAAATGTCAGTGTTGATAAGTCACATGTGATCGATCTCTCTCTCTCTCTCTCGCTCTCTCTCTCGCTCTCTCTCTCTCTCTCATTCTCTCTCTCTCTCTCTCTCTCTCTTTACAGATGCATCATCCCATACAGATGAAGCCTGCAGACAGTGAGAAAAACAATGGTGAGTGACTTTAATTTTCCACAATATTATGACAGTCCTCCATTCATATACACTAATGTTCAAAAGTTTAGGGTCAGATTTTTATTTATTTATTTGGTAGAAAGAAACAATTATGTTTCAGCAAGGATACAGTAAACCGATAACGTTACAAAAGATTTCCAAATCACGGCTCATTTTCAAATCACTGTTTCTTCTTCTTCAAAAAAAAAAACATTAAGCAGCAAAACGATTGATTTCTGAAGGATCAAGTGACACTGAGGTCTGGAGTAATGGCTGCTCAAAATTCAGCTTTGTCATCACAGGATTAAAGTACATTTTAAAATATATTAAAATAGAAAAGTTAAAAAATTTAAATTGTAATTCCACAATATTACTGTTTTACTGTATTTGTGATCAAATAAATGCAGCCTTTTTTGAACATAAGAGACTTTCTTCGAAAACATTACAAAATCTTATTCTTAAAGGGGACATAACACACACTTTTTTGCCAATCTCATGTTAATCTTGAGTACCTAGTAGTATTGCATCCTTCATATCTCAGAAGAGTCTTTAGTTTTATCAGATTTATAAAAGAAAGATGCAACTTTACGATTCTCTCCGAAAACAGTCAAGCTTCTGGAGGTGTGCCGTGGGCAGAGCTAAAGAGTCCCGAGCACTTACGCGCCGATTGCCAACAAAACAGAAATTTGATGCAGTTTTACTCACCGCCTGGGTTTCCAGCTCATGACCAGGATATTTTATCGCTGGGACAGCTCGGTATCAAACGATCTGCAAATCCAGCATCGAACTGGGCCTTGTTTATAAAACATTTGTCACCGAAATGATGGGAACAAACGCACACGTGCGAAACTTCGTTGCTGTCCCGGAAAAACAAACCGCATCCACTGTTCACGTAACACCGGGTTCTTTGGGAAGTTGAACAAGGTTCTCTTTCCCTCACATCCAAAAACACACTTCTTTAGTGACATTCTTCTGGAGCGAGTCCTGTGCAGCGCTGCTGACGACTTCCGTAACCCGAATGAAGCACGTTGGTGGCCGCGCGCTCTCGCTCTATTTGCTGTGTGCACGCGCTCTTCCGGGAGAAGTGCCCATACAAGGAATTCCGCTCTTCGTGACGTCATGAAGAGCCATGCTCGAAAAAAACTTTCTGAAACTTATTCGAACCTGGAAGGAGTGTATTTGGCACAGAAATACTCCGTCATGCGTCCAAATCGTTTTTTGAAACTTTGGCCATGTTTAGCATGAGAGTCCAACTTTAACAATGTAAATAACTCTGAATGCATGAAATAGCATTAGACCCCACTTTAACTTCCACAGTGACTGTCAAACAGCTGCACAGAGGCTGTGCTGCCATAACACTCTTTTCTTTTGTTTCAGCGATAGAAGATAGAAAGCTGTTTGTTGGAATGATTTCAAAGAAGTGCAATGAGAATGACTTAAGGCTCATGTTTTCCCCATACGGTCAACTTGAGGAGTGCCGCATACTGAGAGGCCCTGATGGACTGAGCCGTGGTGAGAACTCAAATGCATTTATATCATCACTACCACCATCCAAAGCAAATTACACACACTTGATTGGGTACGATAAACACACTTACGGGAATAGAGGCAGTCTTGTGAATGTTTTGACTTAAAGCGCATGAAATAAATTTTTAGCGAATAAACATGAAGTACATCTTCACCAGTCACTCTGCCCACTCTCATTTAAAGGGGTCATATGATGCGATTTCAAGTTTTCCTTTCTCTTTGGAGTGTTACAAGCTGATTGTGCCTAAAGTCTCAAAACCAAAGAGATATTCTTTATCAAAGTTAAGACTCTGCCACGCCCCCCTAAAACGGCTGGTTCTAACACGCCCCCACATAGTTAGTGTTGAAGCAGCATGTCAGGGAGACGCTGTGTGTTTCTAGGCGAAAGCAAAAGCACTTTATTTGGCCTTCCGAAAGTAGATGCATTTAGGAATCTTTTAGATTAATTTCAACAGAACAGCAATGCATTTTATGGACGACCGTTTCGTGAACCTAGGAGAGGAGGTAATTCTGACTTTGCTATGGCTTCTGAATCAGCGACTGTACTTATGTTTTGTTACTAGTTTAAGTATTTGCTATTGACTGTTCAAATGTGGAGTTTTGTGTGTGTGTGTGTGTGTGTGTGTGTGTGTGTGAGAGAGAGAGAGGGAGAGACAGGGTCACATCACAGTAGAGTCAGCTGTCTTAACCGTGGCTTGTGTACTGCAAACACATACCAGCTTCCTCACTGTGTCTGTCACGCGACTCTGTTGTCCTTTCGGGCTTGAACTGATGGTAAAACTAATGACATTATTAACTGTCTTGATATTTATTTTGAAAGCTTGAAGCTCGCGATTATGGTAAGGGGCGTTACATTTCCGACAGGTGCTTGTGGTGTTCGGCCAATCACAGTGCACTGGGTCAGCTGGCCAATCAGAGCGGACTGCGCTTGTCAAAGGAGGGGGCTTTGTAGAAAACGAAGCGTTTGAGAGAGGCGGGGCATAGAGGACTTACAATAATGTACAGTATTTGAAAAATAATGTGTTTTTTGAACATTAAAGCATGTCAACATATTCTGTTACACCAAATACACAAAATAATGATCTTTAAAAAAGCATCATATGACCCCTTTAAGTTATTTCGAGGGGGCAGTGTTTTGCGTAACTAATAGTTGCAGACACAACCCATCAGAGAAAAATGAGACTCGATTGGCTCCTGTCGGCTCAAATGAAAATGCCTTCATTCATCCCAGACTCAACATGGCAACTGATATCACAAGTTAAATAACCATGGGAATTTTATTCTCTTAGTTTCTAGCTGTCGTTTACCTGTGATCTATCCAAAGTTTACCTGTAAGTTATCCAAAAGTGTAACCAAGGGAACATAATGCACATTGAGGCCCACACTATTTTAGAATTGGCTAGAGTGAACTTGCTGTCCAGCACCATGGGAACTGCTGAAGTGATAGGCATGACCCATATTGACTCAGCAGCCCTCAAACCCATTCACTTTCCAAAGAGACCAGGCCTGAACCCCGTTTTGATTAAAGGTTGTGCTTTTGTGTGATTGTTTCATTAGTGCTTCTAGTTTATGGTTTTATTGTTATGGTTTAATTACAGTTGATTCAGTCAATTACAAGTTGGTGTCCTCTTGTGATCGACTTTCACACTTGTAATCTCTGTGTCCGCAGGCTGTGCCTTCATCACATTCACAGCGAGACAGATGGCCCAGTCTGCCATCAAATCCATGCACCAGGCACAGACCATGGAGGTAAACACACACAAATTCACACATACACGCACACCATTTTTGCGTTTCAGCTTGATATTTCTGTGTCTGAGAGATTATAAATGCCTATGCCTCAATGCATAGTATACAGCAAAGTATTGTTTCTATACTTCTTGTATAGACGTTGCACTACCATTCAAAAGTAGTATCAGTAAGATTTTTTTAAATAATGTTTTTGAAAGAAGTCTCATGTTCACCAAAGCTGCATTTATTTGGTCAAAAATACAGTAAAAAACGTAATATTGTGAAATATTAAAAACAGATGTACTGCTTAGTATTTTTTGGAAACCGTGATACATTTATTTTCAGGATTCGTTGAATAGAAAGTTTAAAAGAACAGCATTTATTTGAAACAGAAGTCTTTATAAATTGATCAAAAGTATTAATTTCTTTAGAAACAAAACTTACCCCAAACTTTTAATCGGTAGTGTATTATGAAAGGCTGAGATGCTGCTATAAAAGTCAGAGTATACATATCGGTGAAAACTTGCTGTTTACTGATTTTTGGCTGTCTTGGCCCCTTTCAGTTATTTTGTCAAAATTAAATTCTATGATGCATTTTAATTTCTGTTTGCATGTGTCCTGTAGGGCTGTTCTTCTCCCATCGTGGTGAAGTTTGCAGACACTCAGAAGGATAAAGAACAGAAACGTATCGCCCAGCAGCTGCAGCAACAGATGCAACAGCTCAATGCTGCCTCTATGTGGGGAAATCTTACAGGACTGAACTCACTTGGGCCACAGTACCTTGCAGTGAGTACACAGGACAGATCCTGTTGCATCTGAGGTCTATGCACATAGAAACCACACCAATATTGAAGACTACATACCTACGTAAAATGCGTAAAGCACTTGCTGAATGAAAAATTTCATGTTTAGTACATGAGGGCTGGTCTTTGCTCCATCTAGGGCTGTCACAATATTAGAATTTCACTACAATTTTCATGGCCAAAATAATTCACGGTAACATTATTATTGTGTAGGGGTGCAACGATATTCAAATCGAACCGAAAAACCGCGATACACCACCCACGGTATGTACCGCGGTACTCTCTTGGCCTACCCCGCCTCCTGCTGAGACACTTCAACCACGTACAGCCATGATGGTTTTGAATTGCTTGAATCACTTTGAAAAGGAAGGTGCCATTAAGGGCAACATGTGCGGAACAAATCTGTCATATATGCTACATAAAATTATAATGAAAACACAACTGTAATAGAAAATGCCATGTTTCAGCGCGTTTTTATGGAAAGAATGCATCCACAGAGTTATGTTGCATTTGGTTGAGTTACGCCGCAAAAACAGCACAAACAACAATGCAGAATATTAACTATGACTGGGACTGTCATATACATAACATTATAATGAGAACACCATTATAATTAAACACTGAATTTCTATAGTTTAGTTGCGGTGTTTCGCTGTGGGATTGCAGGCATATTGTGTAATTCTACACATTCCAGGAGGTTTTTCGATTATAAAGTGGGAAATTCCCGCAAACATTTATATACTATATCATGTGGGTTGACTCCAAACAGATTATCAGAGCAGCTCAGTCATTTTAAAACTTTCTGTGAGATGGAAGCCTCACATCCATAATATCCATGTTGAGTTTGCACTGCAAGCGAGCTGCACGTTGCAATACAAGACTAGCGAACGTTTCGGACAGTTGACGGAATTGTCACTTGCAATTTAAGTCATGCCAATTTTAGCATTCAAGCTATTTTAACCGATAAAGTACTGGCGCACTCTCTGAGAGAAGGTCTTCAGCCAAAGTATGCACAGCTGCTTCTCAAACAGCTTTTGACTCTCGAGTGTCATATTGAGTTATTACATATATTATGTAGCCCAAGTAATGTTGTCCAATGACTTGTTTGCATTTAGCATTATTTTATTTAAATTTTTCTAGGGCAATAGATTTTTTGGTAACACTTTTTACAAAGCAACCATTTTTAAAGTCTCATTTGTTAATGCATTAATTAACATGAACTAACAGAGAGCAATTATTGTTGTTATTATTATTAAATTAAAAGTGAATCTAGTGTTCTTTAGCATTGCTGGTGCCATGCCATGAACCGTACCCCCACAACGAACCGAACCGAACCGTGGCCCCAAAACCGTGATATAAACCGAACCGTGGCATTGATATATCGTTACACCCCTATTATCGTGATATCTGTAGTAATTTTGAAAGAAAAAATAATGCTTTCAGTCAAATTCATTTGCTTTTTTTTTTTTCTTTTTTTTTGCGCCAGTGGATCGCACTCAAAAGTAGGGATGTGTAGGTGAAGAGAGTTGTTAACCTAACCGTAACTGTACAAAAAAAGATGCAGGTGTGGATAGTGTCCCGCTTTCACCTGTCATTCCTCCATCATGATTTTGTGCAGCATCAGTAGCTACGTGACTGTCTTTTTTTTCCTTGTTTTATGACAGGTTGAAACCAGTATGCAATACCGCCACCTTGCTATGTTAGAGTATCAAGCAGATACTGGCACTGGATAATATACAAGATTATCAAGAAGTGTAGTATTAACATGATATCAGTATTTTATTTTTTAAATACCACTGGTATCTTTAGTACAACTATATATTACAACACCCCTAGCTCCATCTAAAATGTATTTGCTTTATCCAGACTGTAATGCATTATTACTTGCATCTGTAGGGATTACATTCGATTCCATTAGAGCCTCTTAATCAGAATCTAATTCGCCTTTAAAATGTTGCTGTGATTTTCTGCTGTGTTTGAGCACATGGGCTACAGGTCTGTGTTTGGCCATTATTTAGCTGCATAATTTAATTTGGCTTCTCAAAATCCTTCTTGATTGTTTTTGATTGGATACTCCTAAAACTCAGTTACAGTTCACTGTTTTTCCTCATGTGGGCCAGCATAGATGTGTAGCCCTGTTTGAATGTGTTAGTGCTGCTCCATGGGTGTGCTGTGAAAACTACTTCTATCTTCATCTTTCTCCCTTCTAATTCTTCTCAGGCCCCTTCTCATTTTTTTATACCCCTTCGATGTCCACTTTTCACTCCTCTTTGTTTCTGTCTCCACGTGTGCTCCTGCTTGTTTTAATTTTGCCTTGTTGCCTGATTTATTCTCCTCTCCTTGTTTTAATTTTGCCTTGTTGCCTGATTTATTCTCCTCTCCTCTCCTCTATCACAGTCCTGGATGCAGTCCTGACTCTCTCTGTTCTCTGTTTTGATGTAATGTCTAGCTTTATTTGCAGCTTCTACAACAGTCTGCATCCTCTGGAAATGCGCTCAACAATCTCCATCCAATGTCAGGTGAGAGTCTGATGCGCTCTGCTCCACTCAGACCCGTTAGAGAGAATGGCGGCTGTTAGTTAGCCACTTTTAAAACTCTTATTATATCGCATGCCTATAAAATCAGTTGAGACTGCCTGTTAGTTTTACGACAATGAAAGGAGGTTGTGCGTGTGAATGTTGCCATGAAGTGTAGTGTTGTGCCATTTTGATATGGAAGGTCTGCTATCTGCGGCAGGTCTGAATGCCATGCAGAATCTGGCTGCATTAGCGGCAGCAGCGAGTGCTACACAGGCCACCCCCACAGGTAGCAGTGCTCTGACCACCTCCAGCTCCCCCCTCAGCGTCCTCACCAGCTCAGGTATGCCCTCCGGACAGCCTGCTCAATCTGCCTGGGACGCCTACAAGGGTTGGTCCCACTTTTTAATCTCCTCCTGTCCTTAACTTTGCTTCTTATCAGTCTGTGAAATAGAATTGCTCTTTGTAAGGTTTCTGGTCAATAGCAAATGTCACTTTACAATAAAGTATGATAGGTTGGCTGTAGATAACGCATTAGATATCATGAACTAACAATTAACAACAACTTTACTTTTTTCATTAAATAGCATTTATTAAAGCTACACTGTTTTTTTTTTTTCTTTCTAAGAATTGACATTATTTAAATAATGATCTAGTAAGAAAGTCAGGGGCCATATTCATTAAACATTCTTGAAACTAAAAAGTTTTCCCATAAATGTTTCTTGTGGGGTGTTTTGGTGTGGTTCGTGACGTGTACCACGAGGCAGATACACCTCAAGCCATCAGTGCCAAAAGTTACATAGTGTAGCTTTTATTTATTTAGGTTAATGTTCATTCATAATACTTGAACTAATGTTAGTTTATGCTTGATATTAAAGATATATTGGCGGCATATGTAGAAATTTTAAGATTAATAAATGCTATATACGTGTTGTTCAATGTTAGTTCATGACAGTTAATGGTAAAGGGATAGTTCACCCAAAAATGAAAATTACCCTATGATTTACTCGCCCTCAAGCCATTCTTGGTGTATATGACATTCTTCTTTCAGACAAATACAATCGGAGTTATATAAAAAAAAATCCTGGTTCTTCCAAGCTTTAGAATGGCAGTGAATTGTGGTCGAGATTTTGAAGCTCAAAAAAGTGCATCCATCCATCATAAAAAGTGGTCCACACGGTTCCAGGTGGTTAATAAATGCCTTCTGAAGTGATGTTTGTGTAAGAAAAATATCCATATTTAAAACTTTATAAACCGTAATCTCTAGCTAACAGTCGTACGCATGTTCACTAGAGAGTGGTGTTCCAGCGTAGGACGTAGGCGTAGTGTAGCATTAATTTTTGGGTGAACTATCCCTTTAGCGAATTGAACCTTTATAGTGAAATTTTTTTGCCAATTACACTAAACCTAAACAACGGAGTAATGATTTTTTTTAAACGTCCCTTGCTGTACATGCATCATTCTATGCACCTTTACTCTTGATAATTCTCATCCGTTGCTTCAAAGAGCTGTCTTTTGTGATTTGATCACTGACGTTGCTATCTGCTGTTTCTGCTCAGTCTCGTTTGCTTTACATGTCTGTGTAAATGAGAGCATGTGAAATTTGAATTGGTAAGATGTGTGATGGCTTAGTAATGTGTCACAGCTGGTTCTTGTTTTCTCTCCTCTGCACAGCGGGTTCCTCTCCCACCTCCAGTACAAGTTCTTCTGTGAACCCCATGGCGTCTTTAGGTGCTCTTCAGTCTCTTGCTGCGGGCGCTGGAGCAGGTCTCAACATGAGCTCCCTAGCAAGTAAGAAAAAGAAAGCTTTTTATTTTTGAATTTGTATGAGGTCAGATGGTTTTTAAAGATCCTGTTTACACCTGTTCTTGAAATCCATCTCAGGTGATATGATCACAAGAGGTCAGCTGAGACACATTACCAAAAAAAAAGCACATAAGTCAGCACACTGTTGCAGCTAAATTATTTAAATCTTGTTTTTTTTTTATTATTATTTCTTTGCGTTACAGTACCAGTATAATGTGATCGTATGTGTTTTGAAGTACCTCTGAATGCACATTTTGGACCCCATTCACACCATTGTTTATCACTGACCACATGTGACCAATGACCAATGGATGTTAAATGGGATCTATGTGTCATTCCTTGTGTTTTTAACTTTTTTTGCCTCGTTTCTGTTTCTGCTGTCCGTCTCTGAATGCGGTTTCTCTGTATCTATCAGTAGTTTTGTGTCCTCCCCCGTGTGTGTCTGAATGCTGAGCTGTGTGTTTCTGTGTGCGCAGGCATGGCTGCTCTGAATGGTGGTCTGGGCAGCGGAGGTCTCTCGAACGGCTCGGGCAGTGCTATGGAAGCTCTGACTCAGGCAGCCTATTCTGGGATCCAGCAATATGCCGCTGCCGCTCTGCCCAGCCTCTACAGTCAGAGTTTACTGTCCCAGCAGAACGTTAGTGCCGCTGGCAGCCAGAGGGAAGGGGAGTACATGAAAGGGCTAATGAGCTTTGTATATATATATATATATATATGTATGTATATACAGTCGCAACCATGATTTCAAGTCGGTAATGCTTAACCAGACCTTCACTAACCTAGAAAAGTATCCACCTCAAAAGAGCAGTTTGTGCAACTTGACAAATCAGACAATAAACATGTTTTAAATGAATTCAGTTCAAATGCTTTAACAAAGTACAAACCCTCCAGTGTGACAGTTTAGCCTACATGACTTGTATGGTCTTTTATTATTTTCTGTGGTAATCAGCAGCATGCTTGAGTGGTATTTAACATAGAATGTTCTTTTAACTAGGCAAGGAGAATAAGTGTTGAAGCTTCATTGAAAATAAAAAGGTTGCTCAAGGCTTTTAGAGTCGAAAGTTATCTTTGTTTCTTTCTCTCTTCTCTCTCTTTCTAAAGGCCCTGAAGGAGCAAACTTGTTCATCTACCATCTGCCACAAGAGTTTGGTGATCAGGATTTGCTGCAGATGTTTATGCCTTTCGGCAATGTTATCTCTGCCAAGGTCTTTATTGACAAACAGACCAACCTTAGCAAGTGTTTTGGTGAGTTGAGCCCCGCTTCAGAAACATTGTGCTTGTTTTGTCTTGATTTTTGAATTCTGAAATCAGATACAAGACTTGGATGTATATTCTGTGCAGTGGATAACGAGAGTCTGGTTCTGTTCTTTTTTGTTTTTGTTTTTTTTAGGCTTTGTTAGTTACGACAATCCAGTTTCGTCTCAGGCAGCCATTCAGTCAATGAACGGTTTTCAGATTGGAATGAAGCGACTGAAGGTGCAACTTAAGCGATCCAAAAATAGTTTACTGTCCCAGCAGAACGTTAGTGCCGCTGGCAGCCAGAGGGAAGGTGAGTACATGAAAGGTCTAATGAGCTTTGAGCAGCTTTTCGAGTTGGGAGATTGCCAGCCTCTGTGTAAGATAAAACTGCTAGTTTATGCCAGTAGGGTCAGCTCTTAGGGCATGTGTTGGCCCATGATGTTTTTCAGTGTGTGTGTGTGTGTGTAGACGTGGCTCTTGTGATCACCATTTTAAGGATTCATTCTTGTTTTAAATACGCTGCAACAGCAAGTCCCAATCAGAGCGCGGGTAAGAGATCATTATCACTCTCCACAATGCCCATTTTTCTATATTTTGGTTTGTTTAAAAGTAAGTGGAGATCCATACCAGCAGCTCTTTGCCAATGAATTCCATGAGTATTCTGTGATAAATACAACTTCAAGCCTGTCGGAAGCATCTGTGGCATGCTCTTCTATGCTGCTGTTTTTTATTACCAATTGTTATTATCAGTGTTGAAAACGAAGGGTTTATATTTTTGTTGAAACCAGGATATTTTTTCAGTATTCTTTGTTGAATAGAAAGCTCAGAAACTTTTTAAATAGAATTATAAAAATGTAAATTAAAAATGTCTTTACTGTCACATTTGATCAATTGAATGCTGATTAATTACTGAATAAAAGTTCTGATTTGTTTAAAAAAAAGTACCGTCACCAAACTTTTAAATGGTAGTGTATATTAAGAAAACAAATAGTTTTATTCTTTGACGGTCAAAAAAATAAATTGTGATGTCAGTCTTCATCCTGAAAGCCCTCTTTCCACGTCACCTACTTTTCAGCAAGGCCATATAGGTTTTGATCTTTTTATAT